GAACCGGAAAAACACTCAGTGCTGGAGGTGCTTTTCCATGCATTTCTCTGTGGATTTCCTTTCTCTGATTCAATTGTGGGCCTTCAGTAGTGCTGGGGCCCTCCAGGCGGACAGTCAGGGAGGATGAAAAGCTGCATACTTTCTGTAATTGAATACTAAGGCACGCTCCCCTGTTTGTACCCCAGCAAAGCTCAGCAGCAGAGACAGAGAGTCCTAGTTCCAGGGAGTGAGATGGCCTCTGTTTTCCTCAGCCGAATGGCTTGAAGATACCTACAAAGTTTCTGAATGTGGGGATCCACATCCACAGTGCAGAAGTGGATTTTCAAGAGAGACTTTCAGCAGACTAGATTGTATCTTGTTGGAAAAGTAGGCATTTGTATCTTGGCCTTTGGGGATCAACTATAGCCAAGCTGTCCAGGCTTCTTGTGAGACTGGCTATTTTCTTTCAGCTTGTGTTCTTCCCCCAGACTCAAGCTAACTCTTATCTATCTATCATGTTCTGACCTCTTGGGCCACAGCACTGCAGGGTTCCTTCTCCTGCCAGGGGTCACATTGTTCCTGGAAAAGGTGAGTGAGTCTGGGATGGGTTGGCCACGGGATGGCTGATGGAGAGAGCCAGCCTCTCTCTTTTGAGAAGTGGCTGCAAGAACACGCATCTTCCTTGCCATGCCACCCAACCATCTTCCACAGACCCTGGCAGAGGCCCAGCAATTGCTGTCCTTGGATTTCCCCATCCTTCCTTAAACACCTTTGTTTTTTGTTGCTCTTGGCTTCTCCTGGGCTCTGCCTCCTGCCGTGGGTCTGATAAAGCAAAGGCTTGGAGAGCTCCCAAAGCCAGCTCTGCCCAGGCTCCCCGAGTATTTCTGGAACAGGGAAATGCACAAAAGCAGCTGTAGGCGTCCTTCCTGCGCATGGCAGCACAACCTTTGGTGACCCTGAGTCCTTCTCACGTTATCTCCCTACCTAGCACCTACTTTTCTGGCAAATGACACCACACAGGGAAGGCCACATGCAGAACAACAAAGATGCCGTGAGCCTGGCTGCTGCGTGAGCACCCCAAGAGGTGGGCATGTCTTGGCAGCAGGGTGGGAAGGAAAAGCTCATTAGTTTTTGGCATGCATTTTGGGAAATTAGTTTTTAGAAATACTTTTTGCCTCAGGCAGGAGATGTAGGTGATTCCTTCTGCTCAGCTGTGCTGTTTGCTCAGAGGTTCCCAGTGCTGTTGATGGGGCTGCAGGAGGTGCCTGTTCCAATGCCAGCCCTGGCTTGCAGAGAAAGCAAAGCTGCTGGCTGCCTCCAGCCATGGGCTGTATCCCTGCAGTGGGGAGGTACAGGTACTGAAGGCTGTGCCAGGGCCGGGCCAGCACCAGGGGATACAAATAGAGGGGCTTGCAGCAGCAATCTGTCCTTCCTCAGGTACATGAATCACTCACCAGCCCTCCTCCACACAGGGGTACAGGCATGCGTACATGTGAATGTATGCAATGACCTGTCTGGGGAAGAAGTGGCCCATTAGAAGATGAGAAGGGGGCTCAGCATAATACCTCATCAAACCTGCCTGTCCATATTCCACATTGCTGCTATCAAAAAGGGTTTTATGCATGTATTTCGTGCACCTGTCCGCTAGCAGCAGTATCTTGAGACCATAGAAGAGACTCCAGAATGTGGGCAGACATTCTTTCAGAAAGGTTGTGATAAAATTTTTCCTGTCAACTAGTCCCTGCCAAAGTGAAAAACGAACACCTACTAAGCCCAATGCCCCATGCAAATAAATAGTTAAGTTCCCCAGTGGAGGCTCTCATTGGAGCACAGTATTTATTTGTCCTAGGAGCTAGCACGGGAAAAAAGAATTACGGATGTCTGGAAAGAGGCAGTGACTGACCTCTGGCAAAGGGTTTGCTTGGGCAAGAGAAGAAAGAGGAAACCATTTACCAGGCTGGGTTTGATGAAAGAATTGAGGCTGGAGCCTCCACCCAGACCACGGGGAGTAGGTTTGATCTGCAAGACCTGCAAGAGGAGACCGTGTGAGGTGATATGGAAATTTCCAAATAATGGCTGTGCTGCCAAAGTGGATGCTCTCAAGTGGCTGAAAAAAGAAAGCTGTTTCAAGAGCAGCAGGGCTTGTAAAGCTTCTAAGGGTTTCTACAGACTTTTATCCTTACTTCCAGGTATACCTCAGAGGAGCAGCAAACCTTATCTGTCACCTCACAGTCCTCTCAGTACTGCTGGCTCTGCCTGTACCCACACTATGGTCTGCTAGGGGCTATATGTGCTTTGGGGTCTCAGCTACCAATACGCATGCCCCAGATCAAACAGAATAAAAACCAGCAGGTTTTCTTGCTGAGGAGTCATTAATTTGACTCTCTTCTTCCTAGCTTATCTGTCTAGTAGAAAAAATATATTTAAACTTATTTATCCCTTTGTCAAAGCAGATAGTGTGTTCTGGGTAAGGGAGGGGTGAATAGATGGATGGATAGATACTACTGTTGTGTAAGCCTTGTGTCCTTATCAAGTCAGACAAATAAGTTTTTTATTTTCTAAGAGGAAACATCCCATTGGGTTATTGAGCCAAGCTTTCATTTCATCTGAGGAAGCTGAGATGGCAATTAGTAATAATAACCATTAATGCTGCACTTTTGTCAAATGTCCTTGCTGCTGGTGGGCTCCCCATAAGATGTGCTCTCATGACACACAACTAAGCTCCCTTACGAAACTGCGGCCTCACACTGTGCAGACAGATGCTACCACACAGTACAAGACCCATAGAGACAATTTTCAGGAGTTTCTGCCCAGGAAGGCACCCAGGTATGCCACTGTCTCATGTTTTGGGACTGAGATTGGCTGTGAAAGACTGGCATGAGGGAGGGCAGCAGAAAGGCAGCTGCAGAAGTACTACTGATGTGGCCCTTTAAAGAGACCAAGGGAGCATTCCTCTGCAGCAGGTGCTCTGCAATTCCTGGTGCACTTTGGGCCTGTAGAAAGATCCCTGCAAAGACAGCAGGAGAATTAGGGTTTTAAAATGAATGTATCCCTGGCTTCTGCAATTTGAATAGTTGTTCCTGGAGTCTGGCTCTCTATGTCACATTCAGTGTACCCTTCTCTGTGGCCACCCATTTAGAGCCAGTGCAAGTTGACTGTGGCTGGTCAAGTGTGTCAGAAAATCTACTGTGAGTGGCTGACCGGGCTTCTGAGTGATGGAAAAGGTTGCTGAGAGCTGCGCTCACATGGGATTACAGCGAAAATAAATAATGAACTGATCTGATAACAGTGCAGCCAGAACAAATTCTGCAATCTATGGCCATGCCTGCAGCTCTCCATGATGACACAGAGCCAACATTTCAACTCCATTCACTAAAGCAGCTCAAGATTTCTCCATGTCAGGGACAAGAGGGCAGGTGGATGCTCTGCACTGCTTTGATGTTAGTCCATACCATGATTTCTGCTTCTCTGGGGCTGGATATTGGGGCAGTGTTGATGCATCCTACCAGTGATGTTACCAAGTTCTTCAAAGAATCACAGAATTGTTGGGTTGGAAGAGAACTTAAAGCCCACTCAGTTCCACCCCTGTGCCGTGGGCAGGGCTGCCACCCAGCAGTTCGGGCTGCCCATGGCCCCATCCAACCTGGCCTTGAACCTCCAGGGATGGGGCACCACAGCTCTCTGGGCAGCCTGTGCCAATGTCTCACTACCCTCCGAATAAAGAATTTCCTCTGAATATCTAATCTAAATCTCCTCTCTTTTAGTTTAAAACCTATTACTGCCCATGTAAAACCTTCTCCTGATTGAGAGCTTGATTTTCATCGGGTTGTGAGTCAAGAAGGACACATGGTGTTGGCAGGAGATTTTGTGGACATCGCAAACACCAGATGAGATGTGCCTTCTCAGCTCTATACACAGTAACTTGTAAATGCCCACTGAAATTTAAAAATTCAAGATTCTGAGTGACAGTTTCCTCCCAACAAACCTAATTTGCCGAAGCAATAAATGTCAGCAACAGGACTAGAGGGAATAACCTCAAGTCACATCAGTGGAGGTTCAGGTTGGATATTAGGAAAAATTTCTTCTCCAAAAGAGTAGTCAGGCGCTGGCACAGGCTGACAATGGAGGCAGTGGAGTCACCATCCCTGGAAGGTGTTTAAGAAACACTTATGTTGTACTAAGGGACATGGTTTAGTGAGGAAGTACTGGCCGTAGCAGGATAGTTGGACTAGATGACCTTGGAGGTCTTTTCCAACCTTGGTGATTCTATGACTCAAACCGCTGCAAGTCAGGAGCAAAAAGAAACAAAGGCACTTCTGTTCTCATTATTGCACTCAGCAAGAGAAGACCCCAGCACATGTAAGCCGCTCCTTGCCAAGACAGATCCCTATAAAGAAGATCAGATCTTTTTCTTCCTGCTTCCTGTCGATCCTCCACACTAAAAAAAATCCTTCACTAATAGAAGGGGCTTGCATGCTGCAGATCTTACCTAACCAGCTGTTATCAGAGTACTCTCAGGGTACATGAACTTGCCTCACATCACCGCTTTGAGAGGAGGTTGTTGGATTTCCAATAAAACTCTGTGTCGCTTCTGAAGAGAAATTCTGCGCTTTGTGCCTGATGCAGACTTGATAAGGAAGATGCCTTTCACTGTTAATCAGTATGGACTTAGCATGGACACACAGTAAGTGATACATCATAGAAAAACAGGCACTATCTGCCTCTCTGACAGCTGGAAAGCTAGCAGGCAGATGCAAGCACGATGTGTATGTCTCCATGGGGCAGGCTGGGCAGCTCATAGCTCCACAGATCCATTTGCTGTTGTGCTCACAGCCACAGTGTTTGTATTTATTATAACACCTTGGGAAAGAAAAGGGTGCTGCCTTTTCAAAGTTAGATAACTGGCCCAGTTCTTCGCAGTCGGATTGGCTGCGAGAGGCCCTGTAAAACCGTGCTGGCCAGCAGCCCGGCCCAGCCCTGCTAGGCTGCAAGCGATTTCCACAATTGGCCACTTCAGAGTGGGAGTGGGGGAGGTGAAGACAGCTGGGCAAACTGCATCTCCACCAAGCTGCTTCCCTTCCTCCTTGGGTTTTCTCAGCCGGAGTTATTTGGCAAAGCCTGCTCCGGGTGCCTCCAAACCCCTCTCGTGAGGTCCAGGCGAGTGGGTTGCGGCACTGGCGGCCAGGCTGCTGGCACTCCATTGGCCTCTCTAGAGCAGTCCCGGCACAGGACATGTCAGTCTGCAACAGCCCTGGGGGCCCCGCTGCCCTGGACTTTCCCGAAGTCCTGAAGTCCCTGCTGGAGTACTCCTTACCCTGGACCAACAAAATGACAGGTAGGACGGAGGGAACGCTTAGGGGTCTGTTTTTTTCTCCATAAATTGCAATGCGAGAAGCGGGCAGAAGTTTGTTCACTGCAAACTTTTCAAGGGTGTGCTGCCTCACCAAGTGAGCTGGGGAGTGCTGGGAGTGAGTGTGGTGTGCAGCTGGGAATAAAACAGCAGTGATGATGGATTGATTACAAAATCCATCAGGAGTGCTGAGCTCCTGATCTTTTTAATCTCAGCTACTTCTTGAACGCCCTCAAAGCTTTCTGAGCAGGGAAGAATTGGGTACAAACCTTTGTGCTCACATAGGAGCAACTTCCAGGATTTCTATCTATGCTATGTAACGGTTAATGAGTGTTCAGTCTCTGGACACTACTGCTCCCCAGATGTGCACTGCCTGGGGTGAGGTGCCCAGCTGGCTGATTCTGTGCAAACTTTGTGCATGATGCTGCAGTTGTTTATCGGTTAGAAGCTGAGGTACAGAACAAAGCAAATGTGTTTTCTTTGCAAGAGCACTCAGGTACTCCTAGGCTTTCCCACTCTCTGCAGCCTCCAAGAAAACAAATGGAAATGATCCAAGAAGTTGTTTAGTCTGTGCTTCTTCTGGGCTGACCAATTCTCTCCTGTTGGGCACGCTCCAAGCGCCCATCATATAACTCACGGACTTGATGGTTTTGGATGGGATGCCACATGCCCTTGGCAAGCTGTTTTTTGGTTGTTGTGTTGTAATGTTTGCTGACAAGTGCTAGCGAAGTGTGTGGGAACACCTCAGCACCATACGCTCATGTCCAGGCACGAGCAAGTTGAACTCACCAAAAAGAACTCCTGCTGAGTTGGCTGTTGGGCAGGAAGCTGCCAGAGGACAAGGCAGACAGCTCGCAGTCTTGAGGGCAAGCGTGACCCAAGCTGGGAGCAGAAAAGCCAGGCCCACAGTGCGGAGGGGAGCTTTCCTTTTGCCCTGATTGTCAACAGGAAAGAAGAATGCCGTGGCAGTAAAGCAGCTGCCTGCTGGAATACAGCAAACACTGTGGGAAAAGGGAAGGGGAAATGCCCATACCTTCCAGAAGCTTATTTTATCACATTACTTTATTCCTCCCATCTGTGAGCTTGCTTGGCTCACTCCTTTGCTGAGACTTTGACTGGCGTGCTTTACCTGGTGTGCTTACGTACCACATGATGTGAAGCCACATGTTGGAAGCAGGTCATGTTTTCAGGGCCGACTGATGCCCATGTGGAAAGCAGACCTGGCTGGGAGACAACCGGTAATGGACAGAGGTGGCTCACACGGCACAGAGCTTTGCTGGGGCTCTGCTGAAGTATGGCTGGCCCTTTGAGACCTCTGGTCTCCACAGCCAGGTGGATTGAGCTAATCCAAGGGGGGAGTGCTGGCAAGATTGGTCTGTCTGGCAAGTAGGAGTAGGGACTGTTGGGGATCAATGATTTGCAGAGGAAATAATTTCATTTTAACTGAATGTGGCTTATTTGGCAACTGAGGTTGCTGTCTTGTGGCAGCTTTCCTCTTCAGTCCTGGGATCACCCTGCCTCTTAGCATCACCTCATGTAACCCTCAGAATTGTGATTATTGTGCCGCTTCCCTCCTGCGGCCAGTGTTCCCATCACATCCTGCTTCCCACAAAGTTCTGTTCTCCCTGCTGGGTCCCCATACCTACACACCCCTCTTCTGGTTTTGTTTGGCCCTGTGTCTGAAACGAGGATTCAGACCTCCCAGCAGAACTTGCTGGACATGTCCCACCCTGTGCTTAGCACTGGGCTGCTTTCTGCTTCCTTCCCTGCTGCATCAAAGCTGGGCTGTTCTGCATCATCTGTCCCCGACAGTGACAGCCAAGGCCACTGCATTCCTCTCCTCACATCTCATTGTCCCCCTCTCTTCCTCCTCGTCTGCAGAGCAAAATACCAAGTGTAAAGATCCAGGCAGATCCCAACTCAACCAGGAAGGTACAGCTGAGGGAGCAATGTCCACTTCGTGCTGGCAGCAACTTGAATCCCTACTCCCTTGAAGCAGTAAGGAAAAGCTCTCAGAGCAACCTCCCTCCTTGCTGGTGGGGCAGAGCCGACGCCTAGGCAGGGTGCTGTGAGAGGGAACCCACAGGAATGCTCCCCAGGACCTCCTGCCCTCAGGCAGAACAGCTAACATTGTGCAGGCCGAACCCTCCCCATGCACAGTCACGAGGCAGTGGCAGCGTAGAGTGAACTTTAGCTTCAGCAACTATTTAGCTGGGGTGGAAATGGGCTGGAGAAAGAGCATGATCAATCTAAACGGAAAATCCCTGGAGGAAAGGCTGCTGAGTGGATGTAGCAACCTCCATTCACACAGACGTCACCCAGCAAAGTAGCTGCCATTTAATCTGTAGGGGGGGATGCACACAGAGCACATTCCTTGAAGGAGCTATGTACTGTACTGACACATAGCATCATCCCTGGGGGCCTCCAGCCACAACAACAATGGAACAAAGCAACCCAGAGAGCTGTAGCTGAATGGGGAGCCTGCAGCCTGCCCCACTTTGGCCAAGTCCCCTCATCCTATTCATAAGAAGCTGCTGTTTCCCAGCCTTGCTAGGTTGTGTTCTTGTTACCACCTACCATTTAGCTGTTTCCTGGGCAAGGGCTTTACTGTAAACCTTTACTTGCCCCTTGCTGAGCTGCATGTGCTGCCTCTGTCCTGTGTGGTCTGACATCTGTCTTTCATTGTCCCGTGTGAAGTGCCATCCCTCTTCTACTCATATGATTATTTCTTCTGCCAGCTGAGCTTGGCAAGGCAGAAGGAGCCTGTGAAAGGCACGTGGCAGCCCTGGAGCACACCAGGCAATGGAGCATGACCTGTTCTGCATGCTTTTGCAGCTGGGTTTATCAGCTGCAATGATATGTTAACCCACACTGCTCCAACATCCTACATTCACCAGGTGGCCTTCCATGTGAGCTGGCATTGTCAAGGAGATTCTGTCTCCAGCCTATGCAAGAGAAGCAGCTGGCATTTAGGGTAGAGTGTGCTCCATGTCCCTCTGAGTTGGACAAGGGCTTGCTGCAGTGAGGTATCAGTGAGGAGCACCTACCACATGTCACTTCCAATCTTGTCCCTTTCTTCTGGGGCGTGCGGAGAGGAATTCAGACCTGATTTTGTGTCTCCGTGACCACTGAGATTTATTAGAAACGGTCAAGTCAAGCTGTGCTTTGAAACCACAATGTCTGAAGTTATTTCTGAAGCCTTTGCCCTGGAGGTCTGCAGAGGTGCAGCTGAAGCAAGGCAGCATTACTGTCTGCCAGGAGGGATAGGGCCCTTTTAGGGGGGAGAACCATTCTGCCCTTTCAGCCTTGGTGCTGCAGGGTGCAGCCAGGGCTCTTGCAGAGGAGCTGTGTGCCCGTTCCTCCGGCTGCTCGCAGCACCGGGCAGGTTTGCTGCAGCCAGCCTTCAGTGAGAGCCTTCAGGAGGCAGCAGCTGCTGGCAGCAGAGGCCTGTGTCTGTGGTGCTGTCACTTCTCCGAGCTTGCTCGTTCGGCAGAAGCTCCATACGCTCTGCCTGTGCTCTGGGGGATGAACTTGGCACGCACACATCTCCCTGCGCCTTCAGAAGCTTAAATCCCAGCACGAATCCCTGCCACTGGAATAGAAGGCAGGCCTTGCCCGGACCACTGAGGGCAGCTGACGTCCCTCCTGGCTGCTCACGCTATGTGGGGCACGCAGCGGCCGCACTGCAATGTAGGGCAGAGGGAGATTAAATCCAGGCCGTCTGGGCACGGCGATCCCGGGCTCCAGACAAGGGACATTTAGGGATCTTCCTGCCAGGGCGGGGCCTCGCTCCACAGCAACCGCTGCTGTGATGCAGCTCCCCAACGGCGGGCCTGGACCCGCGGAGATCAGGGCTAGCGACAGCACTTCACGGCCATACCGCTTCCACAGCCGCTAACGGTTACCGAAGGCCAGAGGCCGTGTGTGTGCGCGGAGGGGGGAAAATCTCTCGCTTCTGCGCATGCGCGCCCACCCCGCGACAGGCGCTGCTCCTCCGCCGCCCACGCGCGCACTCGGTCCGCCCCTCCCGCCGCCTTTAGGAGCAGTTGGCGGTGACGCAGCTCTCTACAGGAGGGGCGAGGGGCGGGGCCTCGCATGCTAACGAGCCGCCGCAGCCTGCCCCTGCACGTGCCCCGGAGGGCGGGGGACGCGTGCCCGCGCCGGCCGCGGAGGGGCGGGGAGGGCGGAGCCCGGCGGCGAGGTCCCGCCCCTAGAGCGGCACGGGCCAATCGGCGCCGCGGAGAGGGCGGGTCGAGTCGCGAGGGCTCGGGTGGGCGGCACCGCGGCGCTCGTGAATATTGAAGTGAGAGGCGGGCGCGCATGCGCCCTTCCGCTCCAGCTGCTCGGTGTCGCTGGGTCCCGGGGTGCCGCCGCAGCAGCAGCCTGGCGCCGCACGCCGTGGCCGTCGGCGACCATTGACAGCCCATCAGGCGCCCGCCGGCTCGCGGGGAGTATGCCCGGCCGCGCCGCGCACCAGGAGGCGGCGGCGGCGGCGGCGGGAGGAGCGGCAGCGGAGCCCACGGCAGCCGGGGGGAGCGCGGGGGTCGTCGCGCAACAGCCCGAGCAGCAGGGCCTGGCGGGAGCCTTCCCGCTGGTGCTGAAGAAGCTGATGGAGAACCCCCCGCGGGACGCGAGGCTGGGTGAGCGCGCGTGGGCGGCGGGAGCGCGCGGCACCCCAGCCCCCCCCGCTTCCCCTCTCTCCATTCCCATTCCCCTCCTTCCACCGCTCTCCCCTCCCTCTGCCATCGCCGTCCTCCCGCCTTAGGGGCGGGCCCGGTGCGGGTTGGGGGGGTGGAGATCCGGGGGGCGCCCCCTGCGCCCGTTCTCTCCGCCCCAAGCCCCGCAGCGTGCCGGGGGGAGAGGTTGGGGCCGCTCCGGGTGCGTCGAGGCGGGGAGAAACGCTTCAGGTGGGAGGGGTGTAGGGTGTGCCGCGGGAGGCGGCCGCCTCCGTTGCCGCAAAGTTGGGCTGGAAGGAGCCTTCAGGTGCCTCTGTCTGCTCTAGGCACTAAGCGAGCCTAATCCCCAAGGGTGTGCCCGGTACCTGCGCCGTCCTGCCCGGCCGGGGCTCCTCTGCTCCTGAGGGCAGCGTTGTGCAAACAGGGCTGGCTGCAGCCTTCCCAGTGCAGAGCCATTGGCGTTTTCAATCCTTGCACAGTACTGCGTAAACCTATTCGTCTCGTGATTCTGGCCAATACCTTTTTCTCCTTTCTGCTTTAAAAAAAATAATAATAATAATAATAATAATAATAATAGAAAGGTCAGCCTCGGATAGAGGTTGGCCGTGTTGCTATGGCACAGGATGCTGCAGTGCATTTTGAATCTCCAGTGTTATGGCAGCGCTGAGGTTGTTATCCTCACCCAATACCCTTTAGAGGTGACAGTGCTATCAGAAACAACCTCAGGTGGTGTGTGGTGGCCAAACGGGATATGGCTGCTTTGTTTTCTACGTCCAGCATTTGGAGCTGTGAAATTTTAAAAGAAATAAGGATTTCATGCCTTGCACCGCTCTAGAATGAGAAGCACTGAATTCTTTTCCCCTTACCAGATGACCCCATTCCAGCTTGGGAAGGCACACAGTATGACCCTGTTAAGCTTATTGGTGGGCCTGCTGAATTCTGATTACCCCTCTCCATTCACACTGGGATGAAGTTCACACTGTTCCCATTCTTAAATTTCTCCCTGGGCTTCCTTTAATTCACCTGGCACTATGTCATTTCATTTCATGCTTCCTGAAACGTGTTGCTTTGTTTGTTTTGGTCTCGATGCTTCAATTCTCTGCATGTTTGCAAGACAGAGAAAAAAGGCACCGCTGTTAGCAGGTAACTGTTCTTAATTTTACAAAAGACCTGCCAGTACAATTGCAACTACTGACTTCGGAGGATCCTTCTTTTATTTTCTGTTCCTTTACAATGCATGGATGGAACCAAAGTGTCAGCAGGCTTTCTAAGAAAGGCTCCCGTGTGCTTTGCGTGTTGACAATATACAATTTGCTGTATTATTTTGAGGTAAATGGTATCAACAAGCTGCAGTTGTGTCCATTTATAGTCTGCACAAGCTTCCTATGGGTTTTCCAACTGCCCTGGGTAATTTGACTACCCAGTAAGCGAGCAGGCTTTCTAATCCTTCTGAGCAACAGCAGAGGACATCCAGTTCCAACTGAATGCCATCATCTTGAACGCACTGCCATGTACTGAGTATATGCAGCAGCACTTGTAAGTTGTTCTTGAGCAGAGCATAAGGGTTAAATAAAAAAACCCAGTAATTTAAAATAATGAAGTCTGTGGAGTAAGGGAAGAGGATTAATATTTTGGAGCAGGAGTGTAGGTCCTGCCTATTAATAATGAACTGCTGCATACTCTCCAGTCCAAAGGATGCCTTAATCACCAGTTGCATGCTGGTCTGGCAGGAATGCCTCAACAAACATCACAGTAATGGGCATCAGAAGTACATTATTCTAAAACCTATCTTGTTGCACTGTCACAGGTGGGGCTGAAGATCTGTGGAAGAATCAGCCTTGGACTATACAGCATTTTCTGTATAATTTGGCAGAATATTTTTGATGAAGGGGGGGCTTCCTCAAAAGTGTGGGTACTGGTAGTGGCCTAAACATCCGTCTTGTCTTGTGAAAAAACAAGCATGAACAATAAAGCTCTTTCCAGCTTGCTAAAATGAGTGTTTCCAGCTGTTAGTGACCTGGAGTTCTTGATTTTTTGTTGCCAGAATTATTTAAGGTAAACTAGTGACCTCTCTTAACAGCAGATATACAAGCTAGTTAATAGGTCATAGTAGCAGAATGAGAGGACTAAATTGGACGTGAGCTTTCAGCTGCAGAACTACAGTCCAGATTTACCAGGGTGACCTTGAATCACTGCAAATGGAGCCTCTTAGGATACTGCAGCTCTGCTGTCAGGTAATACCTGTTTACACTATAAATATATTTGGAGAATTAATGTTTCAGGTCCCTGTGCTGGGGCAGGCGGAAACTTTCACCTCAAGATGCAAGAAGTTAATTAGTGTTTCATTAGATATTGTGTACCCAGCAGGATGTTGTGCAGCAGGAAATAAAGATTAAATGAATTGAAAGAAAGCCAGTGGGAAAATGTCAGTGTAAAAATGATCACACAACAGTTCTTTTTATGCGTCATGTTTGAAATACACGGGCACTCAGTATGCCTGCTAACGGCTGCTATTTTAATTTTGTTTCAGATATTGCTGCTAGAAGTGAGGGTGGAGAAAGAGACAGCGTAGCTAAACAAAGACCACACTGGGGACTCAGTGCTTGTCCAGTTCTCAACGTGTAGCAAAAGGAAAAGAATCAGGTGGTCCTCTCATGTGAAGAAAGGATTTAATTTGATGTGAGCCAGGGACAATAGCAAGAGGAAGTTGGAAGGGCTGTGGTCTTTTTGGGGTACTAAAGTACAGCAGGATGATGGTGCACATCTGTGGGGCTCTGAAAGCTCTTGTAAGAGCCACACGTGCCTGCAGTATGGCATCTATCTTCTGGGCTGGGGGGGAGAGGAGGGAAGGGAGGGGTTGGAGACGCAACAGCTAAGCTTTGTATTTTGAGATGTTGCATTAGATGTTGCAATGCCCATGCACTACTGTCTGTGTTAAGACTTGCATAGTTTATAATGGAATACTGATGTTTTTAAGACCAAGGGGTGATAATGCTTTGATTCGACGTTCACAAGTTGTCTGTCATGTTGATAAAAAAATAAAGTGATTTATACAGAAATCATTATTGTCACTTGCTTTGTATTGTTACGGGATTGTACACCACTCCTTGTACAAATCTGGGTGGTTGTGTTGGGCAATATGCAAACCTTACGGGAATGCACTATCCTAGATTCAAAAGCTTGATGTAAAATGGCTGTTCTGATTTGGTGGAGTGTGCCTCACTAGTGACGTCATCTTTGTGTGTGAAACAGAGCAGACAGCATTTCTTTACTTGCTTCGAGTACAAGCTGTTTAGAACATTCGGTTAGTTTGGATCGTGGCTGTTAACCTGAACATTTGCTTTGCCTGGGAAAAGGTAGGGAAGATAGTAAAGGAGTTTATAGCAGGGATAGGTGTTGGGAGGTGGAAGTTGAGAGGCAGCGGTGTGAAGTTGTGAGGGGAGCAGCCCATAGCTGCAAGGAGATGATGTTGACAAAGCTTACCCTTTAGGTACTTACTGTTAGTCCCAAGTCTGTAGCTGATAAGTATTTTCTTGTGTGCTTAGATTAGTAGCTATCTCTTGTATAAAATGTTCGGGGGATGGTGGATGAAAACGATAATTTATTTTGTGTGGCAGTGCTGTTCTTTGAGCCATAAAAAGCTCTTTCAATCTCAGTTCCGTCTCAGCTAAGGCAGCAGTGGAAGGAATGCCAGTTTTATCAAATAGGCTTTATATAAATAGGCTTTTCTGATTTGGAGCACGGTTTCAACCACACTCCCACCTCGATGAAGTAGAATACTCCTTTAGTATATTTTAGCTGGTCTGGAATATCCTATTGCCGAGGGCTTGTGCGTTTTGCTAGGCTGATGTGTGCAGATGCTGGAGATCCACAGTGCTCCAGTGTACTTCCCTGCAGCCCTTGTTCCCTCCGAGTGGGTATTTTATCTGCTTCCTTGATAAGATGCAGTTCCCAGTTGGTACAGCTGCACCTGGTGACTGTTCCTTTTGATGACAGCACTGGCTTCAGTAGTCGCTGCCCTAACATTGCTTCTGCAGTGCTTCCTTGCAGTGCAGGTAGAATTGCATAGCTATGAGGAGAACTGGATCAGGAACAGAACTTGGATTTTTTTTTTTTTTTTTTTTTTGCTGATTTATTTTTATCTCTTAAATTATGTAATTATTCCATAACTTGAGTTTTCTGCTTGGATTCTGTCCCAGACAGTTGTGAAGATTCAGTAGCTATGGGGAATGTAGAAACAGCCATTTTTCAGTATTACATGCTTTGTAGCATAGTAAATGGAGAGCTCATCAGTCTTTTCTGGCTTGGGGGTGGAGATGTGGGAGTATGCCTTATCAGACATCTCCCCAAAGAGGAAAAATTGTGTGTAGGTACACTGAGCTATCTATAGTGAACAGCATTTGGAGCTATTACTTTATGTGGACATGCTGAGTCATTTTAGAAAGGAATGCATCTACAATACTGAACAGTAGTGGTCTGGGTCTCTGATGTGCTGTGGACCCTTCTAGCTGATTTTCAAATGCAATCTGAAAACTCTTATTTACTTCTGAATGTCAATCTAAATTATTCTTCTGCACCTTCTTTCCCTCGTGCATGGAATAAACTACTCTGCTTCCTCAAAGTTCTCTTAATGGCTTCTGTTGTAATTCTGTGTCAGGACATTCATTTCCCCATCTTCCAGGACAAGTCAGGGAAAGACAAATGAACCCACAGCAGCAAAACCAGTCTATTTAGCAGTGGCTAGTGAATAATAAGCCAGATGCAGTATTATAGTGTACTTTGGTGAGTTCTCACTGCGGAGTTGATGATCTTCAAGGCTACTCAACTGTGGTCCAGCCCTTGCAGGGGGGCAAAGCACACTATGCTGAGCTGCATACAAATGTTGCCTTTCAACATCTGCATTTCCAGATCATGTCTTGAGGCAGAAATATGGTTTACTGAATTTTCTTCCATGGGATTTTTTTTTTTTATTTTAAGCTGCAACTTGTGCAGTGACCTACTTGTATCTTTCAGATAAAGAGAAGAAGATAAAGCTTGAGGAAGATGAGGCAGCAGCTGCCAGCACTATGGCAGTCTCAGCTTCCCTCATGCCACCTATTTGGGACAAAACTATTCCTTACGATGGAGAGTCTTTCCATCTGGAGTACATGGATCTGGATGAATTTCTCCTCGAGAATGGAATTCCTTCCAGCCCTACTCACCTGGATTTGAACCAGAATCCACTCATGCCTGTGGCTAAGCTGGAAGAAAAGGAGCCAGCCAGTGCATCCACCGGTTCTCCTGTGTCTTCGTCATCTACTGCCGTCTACCAGCAATCTGAAGCAGCCTCCAGCACAGGTAGATGGAATTGTTTTGATTGTTCTGCTATCAACAGGTGCTTCTTCAGATCCAAGAGGAGATGTGCTAACCCATTGCTGTTAGCTGTGGCAGGCTAAGTAACAGGAAAGTGCTCAGCGTAGCCCATGTGTCAATTCATGAAGATGCTGCCTCTCGTCTTCCTCAGTCTCCTTGCTGGAAACATGAGTCAATGTTTACAAGCATGCAGCCTTTCTCTTTTTGAAATCAGTGGAGCTGGAATGCCAGCATAAAGAATTTGCTTTCTTAATTTTGCTTATTTGGTGAGAAGCTGGGCGTGTTGTGAATTTAGCTGCTCAGATTGTCTTCTAACAGATTTGATAGGTTGTGCCAAGTCACTTGTACTGCCTTGGTTTGTCCCTCAAATAACAATGCTTAATTGGAAAAAAAAATAAATAAAAAGGCAGCCTTTCCTTGCTTGCCTGTGAAAATGGCAAACTGACCTTTGGAAAAGGTCTATTAATGGTACAGTTTAATATTCTGTGTTGCTTTGAAGAGAGAATGAAGGAACAAAGAAACAAAACTATGTACTTAAATGGTACTGAGAGACTTCTGCTTTTCATGAGTAGGGTTTGAGCTAGATTTGGAGTTTAAACTTCTTAGCCACTAAACTTGCACAGTGCTATTTCAGGAGCAGAGTTTACAGCAAGCATTTTGCTGAGGACCTCCTCCTGGGAACCTATGCGAAAAGCAAAACATTAAATTCTTTCTGTAAGACATAAGGTGTGTTATTTGCTTGTTTTTTTTCCAGGTGGCATATGAAAAGGTTTATTCATTGATTGCTGCTTCAGGTTGCACTGATATTACAAACTCGATGAACTTGAGTTGCTAAGTTGCATAAATATGTCAAAGTTCATGTGAACGCTGTCAGGCAGCTTGTTGGAGCACTTCTGTTCCCATGTGGCAAGGTTGTAGCATGTATTTAAATTTGTACCAAATCTACACTTCTTTAGTCCTTTGGTAATGCAATTGTCTTACCTTTGAAGGACTTAAGACTGCAGTGTTTGGGCAAGCTTTTTTTTTCTGTGATGTTTTCAAAGTGACAAATCTCAGGCTGATACAATTTCCATGCTTAGAAACAAACTTGCTGTAGCAACCCTAAATGTGCTCAAGTGCAAAAAAACACTTTGAGGAAGTCTTAGCTTTTGTCCCACACCTGTCTACTCATGTCTGTTAGTCTGGCAGATGGTCCTGGAACTTGTGTTACAGTGGACATACAGTACCAAGCATTGCATTAGAGAAATATCAGGTAGTGCTATTAAATGCTAGCTGCAACAACAGAGGTATCCAGCGTGGCTTCTGAGTTAATTCTCTTCATCCTGCTGAATGTGTTGCAACTTCTGTTTTTGCCAGAATCCCCACCGCAAAATGAGAGAAATACACCCAGCCCCATTGATCCTGACTGTGTAGAAGTTGAGGTGAATTTTAATCCTGATCCTGCTGATTTAGTGCTGTCCAGTGTGCCTGGTGGTGAGCTTTTCAATCCTCGCAAGCACAAGTTTACTGAAGAGGACCTGAAACCACAACCAATGATTAAAAAAGCAAAGAAGGTTTTTGTCCCAGATGAGCAAAAGGTAACAGATTTATTACTGCAGACTTCTCTAGGCTGTGATCAAAATTTTTCACTCTTTGACCAAACACACTCACATATAAAGGTAACATGCTGTACATACATGACTGGGGAAAAGCATTGCCAGGAATAGAATTGACAAGTAAACCACTGTTCTTGCTGTTTTGCTGGTTTGGTACCATGAGATAATTACCAGACAGGAGCAACTGAAAATGATATACACAGAAATTAGAAGAACTATCTGATCACATCCACATCGGCTGCGCTTTGAAGGCCAGTGTATGTATTTGCCCAGCATTATGCCTGCTCTAGCTTTGAGCAGGCAAGAGAACAGGCTGTTTTTCTTGGAAGTTCATTCTTGAATTGAAATTAAGTCAAGAGCAGATTTCAATTGGACAGCATAGTAGCCAGGTCTTTTATTCTCCCCAGTTCTAGGAGGGCATCTTGTTTATGCTAAAGCAAGACTTGCATGTGATTATGAAATCTTACAGTGCTCTGTTGCCTGTATTTTAGCATCTGAGCCTTACAAACCAACGAAGGAAGCTCTCAAGTATGGCGTGTAGTGCCCTTATAGGACACAGGTGTTCATTTGATACAAAATGTCAGGTTGGCATCTTTTTTTTTCTTATTTCTTTCTGCTCCAGGACGAAAAGTACTGGACAAGACGAAAGAAGAACAATGTGGCAGCAAAGCGTTCCCGTGATGCTCGACGATTAAAGGAGAATCAGATCACAATTCGGGCAGCCTTCCTTGAGAAAGAGAATACGGCCCTGAGGACGGAGGTTGCAGAGCTGCGCAAGGAAGTGGGGCGATGCAAGAACATTGTTTCTAAATACGAGACCAGATACGGACCCTTGTAAGCACACCCCTTTTCCTTGTTAGGGCTCGTTGTTTTAGCCTCTTAGACTTCTCTGCCTTCTGTAGAGACTTTCAGAAATAAAGTTTGTGGAGGCTTTGCCATTTTGCATCTTAAAAAAAAAAAAAAAAAAAAAAAAAAAAGTTGGCAAAACGTTCAGACACATTTCCTGATTATCATGTTGCCCAAAAACTTAGTGTCCGTATTTACAACTTTAGCACTAATAGAGCACTTTCTGATGTCATACAAAAGAACAGATTATCCTGTCTGAAGGAATATACACAGATTCCTTGTGACTGGACAGAGCTTTTGCTTTCTGTTCTAATCTCTCTTTTTTTCAATGGAGGGAAAAAAGCAAAGACCAGAGTCCCTTAGGCTCTTTTTTTTCTTTTTTTTGTTTTCAAGAAAATCTTACTCTTTTGTACCTGTGTGCCACCTCCCTGCCCCAGTCAAATTGTGAAACATCATTTTAAGATGTTGCTGTGCAGCATCATGAAATTTTCCTCTCCCATTTAGAGGCACTAGAAAGCACTCTCTTCCTGTTGAAGAGGAACAGAGAATCTTTAGGACAGGGAAATGTTTGATCTCTTGTGGAAACTGAGATCTCTACCTTAAGCACTAGGAAAACTACAGTCAGTGCAGTGTTGGTAAAATACTGCTCAAGCTTCTAGATAGGCTCTAATTCTGGGTAACTTCCAGGAGCCTAGAATAGAGAACAGCAGGGAGTCCCTCACTTTACAGATGACTACAGAATAGTTTGTTGTGGATTTTAAGCTGTAATTCTACCACCACCCTTCATTTTTTTGTTCCCTGAGGGGAGACTTCTTCCTTGAATTGCTGATGAAGCAGCATGTTCATCATAACTGAGGAGTAAGGGGGAAAAAGAAGTCTGCCTTCTTATGCTGAATTTGAGGCCCATCTGTTAAGGAATTGCTTTTAAAATTTTTACAGAAAATCTTCTGTAGCATGAGAAACAGAGAAACTAGCCACTGTTACTTTGTTACACCTTACCTGTTGTACAAAGGTTTTGTTGTTTTTGTTTGTTTGTTTTGGTCCTTTGCCTCCCAAATATGCTATGGAACAAGCTACCAACAGTGCACCTCCATATCTCTTGTGTAGCAGTGTATCTGGACTCTGTGCTTGCTGGTTTTCTCTCTAGCATGCTTCTTGATAGAAAATTAATATACAAGACTTGCTCTCTTGAAAATAATCCATTCTCAGCACCAAGTGCTGCTTCAACAGTATGTGCTGCTAAAAGAGAACTATGTTGCGTGTGATGTTGGGACCTTCTCCATGACCTCCAGCTGCAAGAACCAGAAGCTTTAACAGAAGTATTTGTGCAGAAGTTCCCTTCTAGAACAAGAGAAGCTATCTTAAGATAGCAGTTATGTCAGAACTTCTAAGCTATGCTTCCTGGGCTAATGCTTCTATTAGGGAGTGAACAAGAGGTAGCAGATGTTGAGGGTAGTTTCCAGTTCCCCTCTTGAAATCTGAAAAGAATGTTGAGGGAAATGAAACAGAGGTTCTTTCCTGTACTAAAGACTTTGTGCCCAGCTTGTCTTTTAAGCATAATGGAAAAATTGGTATGAATTTAAACCAATTGTGCGTTGACTTCTTAAGAAAGTGGAGAAGCAGGCTAATCCAGTACAGTTAAAGTAAATGTATGCTTTGATCTCTCTCCCCTTTTTATGTTCTAATTCGACCAGTGTCTCTTCGTACTGTGTTGGTCTAATTTCTTTCAAACATGCTAAAAATGGTCACCCTTTGAGCAGGGGATTTGCTTTCACAGGGTGGTGTGTGGTGGTGGTGATGGCGGGAAGTATATTATAAATAAATTGTCACACTTAACACTTTGCTTTGTTTAAAGTGACTTATCTGATTCCGAGTGATGCAACTTTAAAGACTTTTAAAAACAAAGAAACTAAAAAGCACACATGAATCGCCAGTCTTCAGAGTGAGCAGTGAAATCTTTGAGGTGTCCCAACACAACTGACGATGACCCTGCCTGCCTGCTTGCCTGCAAGTACCCCATCTGAACTACCCAGGGCTGGGCATGATGAAAAGTGCAAAGTCTCCTTAATTCTGTATATGGCTTTCTTATCTGTCTTTCTCACTGTAACTATGAACTACAATAAGCTTACTTACTGGGGGTTTTGTCAAGACACTCAAAGTTCATGTTTCAAAGTCTGTTTACAGCCTGTGTGAGTAGTGACTGTTTTGGCACTTGAGTGGAAGAAAATAGAGAGATTTAAATGGAAGTGTCTGTATATATTAAGAACTGCTATACTTTGAAACTTCTTTCCCCTGCAGTAGAATAAGTTGTACCTAATGCTGCAGCTCGCTTCTGGTACAGCATAGCATCTTGTGGAGTATTGTGAGTGCAGAATCAAAGACAGCAGTTTGTGGCGTGTGAGGCTTCCAGTGCAGAGTAATACAGCAGATGTATTGAAACAATGCAGAAAGCACCCCAGTGTGCCATATGAAGGCCTGTAAGAAAATCTCTATCAAACAACCCATGCCAGAGGAAAAACTCTGCTGTAACCTGCCTTCTGACTTTTTTTATTGTTATTTTTTCCAAGGCTCACTTTCTTTTAATGGTATCTCGCTGAAACAAAGTCTGATCTTGTGTTACAAGTTAGCAGTCATGGACAAGGTGCTGGTCTGATCCCCATGTCTTTTGGCAGTGTAAGGCTACCAAGTGAGTATTAGTGCCAGCAAAGCAATGGCTATGAGCTGCCATGCTGCAATTTGCCCTCTCTTGACTACATGAGAACTGCAGTGGCAGGAGAGTATTTCGTTTGTTTGACAAATCTGAAACAGCTAAAGACTTTGCAGAGGTGCAGCAGACACCTTAAGTACCAGGACCCTTCCTTGTGCTGGTGCGGGAGAGTAGATGAAAGCTTGGGCAGATTGTGGAGATGATTATTGTGTGTAGAAGATGGGGAAAGTAGGTGGAAGGTCCTTTGTAATAGCTTCATCAGCCAAACAAGAATCTACCTTTATGTTGAGGAAGGTTAAGAGCTGTATTTAAGTGGGAAGAACAAGTACTTGCTTTCTGGGAAAGTAGCACAGAGCTGTAGCCTGTAAGACAGGAGTGAATGTTTGGTGTATTTGTGCCTGGAGATTGATGAATAGCACACACCTCAAGAGAAATAACCCAAAAAGCTTTCAGAAGCACAAGTGCCTGAGTTATGAGGCACAACTAGTTACCAGCAAAACCTGACACAACATTGAGCAAGTATTCTGAGTTAATGTTTACCCAAGAGATACCACTGTTCAGAGCAGAAAGGCAAAGAGAAAAAGATGCAAGGCAGCAGATAATGTTGTACCTTCACTTAAAGAATAAAAATTAAAATGCAGAATTTGTAACTTTTTTTTTTTTTTTTTTGAAAGCATAACCTTTGTAAAGGGCATATATATTAAATGCACTTATTGACCTGTTATTTGTAATGGACCATGATCTGGAGTGGAGAAGGTATTTTTAACTTTCATTGGTTACAAAATTGTACTGAGTGCACGATCAGAATTTGTGATTCTGAGGTGATCTCTGAGCCATCCTCAGATGGATGAATAGCTTAGCTCTGCGTTGCTGGAACATCAGCATGTATCACTACCTGTAGCAAATATTGCAGATTCGAATGGATATTTTTGGTATGTCCTGTTTTTCTTTTTCCTTTATTTTGATGATACTGACAGCATGTAAATACAGCAACTCTTTTTCCATTTATCATTTCTACGTTTCCAGTTGGATTTGGCTTTTCTTGACAGTCATGCTTCCTGCTTAAATCAAAGAATATTGTAACTGGGCAAGGAGTTGCTAATCCTTCATGGGGTCTTGCTGTCTTACTGCTTTAGGAGCATGTTTTAAATGCCTATACATTGTATACAGGACCTGGTTTTGCAGTATGCCACACTATTTTAAGAGCAAAACAGTAAGAATAGTACGTGCAATTCTGTCTTTTCCTGTCGTATCAAAGGTTTATACAGTGGAAACTAACAGTGTATTATATATATATATATATATTTTATTTCAGAGAAGACTGTTAGTAAATTCTTGTGCTTCCCTGTAGAACAGTGCACATCTGCACATCCTGTTTCACGTATCTACAGGTTGCAAAACTGGAAAATCTCACTTCAGGATAAACGTGACTGATCTTCTATAGTTGGAGATTTCTTTTTTTTCTGTTAAGAATCAACATCCCCAAGGGCAGATGAGGAGGCAGTAACACGGAAAGGAGCGTGCGCGCGTTGCCAGGCGGCAGGGTGACGCGCAGCGCTCATTTCCGTTCTCAGCTTTTGCAGTCTTGGGAAGTTGAGCTTAACTGCTTCGAGATGTGCTGCTCCTTTCAGAAAGATTCACTTGCAGTCTTGTTTCTTTGACGAGGATGACTGTCCTATTTGTAAATGATAGCTCAGATATGTTTTCCGTAGAGATCGTAAGACCGATATTCCTTTAGCTCAGTCTACGTGTTAAAAGATGCTGAATTGACACTGTTAGCAGCTGAAGTTCTCTAACCTTGGGACGTGCTACATAGAGCCCATAAGTGTGCCTATACTCCTATATACTCCATTGCATCCAAAAAGGGACCATCTCCAAGGGGAGGGAATAAAGGGAATGCATCTTGGAGCATCACTGCAGGGATTGCCATTGAAGGGAGCTGTTTTTGACAGCTCTACATTGATTAAGAAATACACTGAAATCAAACAGCCATTGCACAGCACTAGCTTTCAAAGTGCATAAACTGTTGATACTGGCAATTGACTGTTGTCTTATTCTACAGAAGAATTGACAATGAATAAGTGATGCACAAAACTTATTGCAGTACTGCTTTTGTACGTGACCTAATCCACACAGTTGCATTTCCATGCAGCAGTGCATTTCGGTACTTAATAAGTCCCTAGAATTTTATTCTTTCACCTGATGCCAAGATCTGCTCCCAGTGAAGCCATTAACAAAGATCTCATTAACTTCTATAGGAAAAAGTCTTTGTTCTGATGAGGTGAGCATCAAGCTTTAAGCAAGCACTGGAGCCCTGGGTGTATTTGTGTTGCTCTGGAGCGCCCTGTGCTGGGATCAGGCAGATGTATCCCTGATTGCAGGTGTCGTGTTCATAAACTGATCCTTCACTTATTTGTTCACACAGTTTTGATGTTCAGACAGTCTGGAATCTTTCCCTCCCTCCCCTGCCGTGGACAGGGTTAAAAAGCATACTATTAACTTGTGCTGGGAAAAGGAATGTTTTTCGTTGTTGCTTTTTCTTGTTTACTTGTTTCTTTTCTGAAAAAGAATGTTATGTGGCTTTCTGCAGTTCTTTTGGTAACGTTTTATATTATTTCTGACAATTTTCCCTGCTGTGCATTTTGAAAGCCCAAGGTATTTCAGCTGTCAAAATCACTTTCAGTGTTACCTGCAGTGTTACCTACTGATTTTAATAAATGAATTTCACAATGAAGGGTGCAGTGGAAGGCCAGCAGTCACAGCTCAATAAAACATTCTTGTATGGGGAATTTTTTTTCCCAAAAAAATAATGGATTTGCACAGAAGAGAATATTGTTGCTTCAGCCTTATGAACCTCTTCAGGATAACATGGCTCTGTTCCTTGTGATCAGATGCCTTCATTTTTAGTGAGAGTGAAGGTATCTTGCACCCTTTAAAACCCGGACAGGATTTCATTTGCCCTCACTGTTTTAGCTGATAAGCAGGAGATGAGAAATGCAAACTTATCTTAATGCATAGATCTTTTTTGTTCTTAGTAATCTACATCTAAATCCAAAAGCAGCAAGATAAATTTGTCAGTGCTGTTGTTTTGCCCTTGCAGTGCTGGAAGATACTGGCTAGCTTTCTAGATTTTCAGCTGATTACTCTGGTCTGTATAGCTGCAACAGGGTGAAGATGGATAAATTCACAACAAAAGAATGGGAAGAAGGTAGAAAGAGTAAGCGTAACTTCTGTGGAGACGCTAACAAAATGCTAATTGAGAAACTACATGATTTAATTGTCAATAACGCAGATTTGTCGTACAGAATGTTCATTTTTAACTTGAGAGTATGCTAGGAAGTCCCTTTTGGAATGGAGACTTCAAGTTGAAGCAACTATGGGGGAAAGGGAGTACTTTGAGGGAGATACATATATAGATAAACATAAAAATAGCTGTCAAGTAAAGCAGAAAATGGAAGTGGGGAAAATGGTACCACAGGTTACTGACCCAAATTAGGCTGCTGAAACCAAAGCCTTGCTGTTTAAATTTCTGCAGCAGCTTGGATCCCCATCCTGTAGAAGATTGTTTAGGTTTTAGGAAACTTATTTAAGGTTCGGGAATCTCCTTTTGTTGATCTCATGCCCACAGTTCAGAAGGAAGTGAAAGGAATACAGAGATGGGGGTGGAGAGTTACCGCAGAAAGGCATGAACAAATAGCTATTGCTTGAACTGAGTGTGCTGTTGTGCCAGGACTTGGCTTGCCCCTGCGAACTGATAGTGCTGTGTCATGAAGAAATTACTATCTGAGGCCCCAAGTGTTTTAAGACCTCAGTTGTGCATGGG